TAATAATGGTCCGGTCCGCGGTCCATTACCCGGGCCGGTCTTTTGGATCAAGACCGGACCGGACCGGACCGTTACATCCCTAGAAATGATACAAAATTTGCTGCGCCTCCAAAATCCGAAAATTTCGGGTACTGGCGCTACAATTTCATTGGACAAAAAATTGATGTACGTGATGTTACACGAAACCGATGTACGCAAATCATTTCCCATTTATATATTGGTCTTAACGATGGCATTGTCAGTGGTGTTTAACACCACAGTTGCTATTCTCAAAACCTGTCTAAATAACCAAAGGTCGGATATATTAAATAAACATATTCAGCAACCCAAAAAACCTTACCCAACTTTATTTTTAGCTACAGAAAATTATAATAAAAGTGTTTATCATCACCACTGGTGCGATTTATGATAATAGCACATAATTCTTAGGATTTAGACAAGAGCGGCTGAGAATCAGATTGACCATTTTTGGGTACGTGTGTATGTATGTACGCACATAAGCAACATAAGTGCAGTAACTGTAAAAGTACCGGAAATTTGATAGCAAATTCCGAATAATTTTACCGTAATTGTTTCTATATTTATATAGTTGTTTAGATTAAAATTCATATAATTTCACTGTGAAATTCATTTAAAAATTACAAAATGAGGTGCGCAGAGTGCGAACTTAATAAACTCTCTAAAGAATTTCCTCCCGATACTATTTCAAAACAATGTAAACATATTCCGACTTGGTGTTTAAAGGTTGTCTACCAACACTTTGCAATAACTTTTTGCACTCCGACGATAAATTCTTGTAAATACTTTTAACTATCGTTTTTTTTTTCTTATAAAATTAGTGTTTAACAGGCTGTTTAGAAAAACATAATAATAAAGAAGGTCCGTCATGCCCTCAATGTAATGTTGTGCTCACACAAAAAGAATTGGAATCTTTAAAAATTACTTGGGAAAAAGCTCCATTTTTGGTTGAGATTCCACATCTAAGCAATATTAAGGACAACAAAGAGGTTGCTGAAGAAAAAGGAGTGTTTTATGTTGCTTTATTGAACGGTCAAAAGTATCAATTTAGATTTGAACAAGTCAAGACTGTTAGAGCTTTGAAACAATCATTGGTGCAACAAATTGGTGTTGAAAGTAGAAAGCAAAAGTTAATATTTGAAGGCGCTGAATTAAAAGTTATTATAATATTTTAAAAATTAATTCCATGAAAAACAATTCCATTATGCTGTATCTAATGTGTACAAAATATATTTAATATAGGATGCCAAACCCAGAGGCGGCGGTGATATGAGACTTGTCGAGTATGGCGTTCGCGAGGGAAGTCATATTCAACTTATTGTCGTTCTGTACTCAATCACAAAGGACGTGTCAATTGCCAATCTATCATTTAATTTACATTGGGGATTTCCTGCATCAGGAGAAGACTTCCTTGATGGAACTTGTTTAATTTACGCTGGTAGAGAACTTTGGAAGAAATATGATTATGCTTCACAATTTTATCCTAGCATACCTTATATCAGACATTCTGGTGATATTATTAATCATGCGAACCAACGAGGTTCGTAAATGGCTACATTTTGCATGCATAATTATTAACTTAGAGCTGTATATTTATATATTAATTTGTTTTTATTTTCATACTTTATGTGTTCAGGTAGTCATACAATTACTGTAAAGTTAGACCAACTACCAGCTGAAGTCACCAAACTTTATTTTATCCTCAGCGCATGGGAGTGTCCAAACATTGGTCATTTCAGAGATCCAAGCTTTTTACTATATGATGAGGATTCACCAGATAAAGAGCAATTATGCGATTATGCAATTCAAACCGCTGCAACTTCACAAGCTGTGATAATGTGCTATGTTTCAAGGACACCTGATGATACTTGGGAAGTTATCCCTGTTGGTCGTCTGTCTAATGGAAACGCTATGAATTATGCTCCTATTGAAAATTCTATTAGGGAATTAGAAGGAAATATTGGTCAATAGGTTTAGTTTAACGTGCATAAAGTCACTTTGTTTTTATAAATATATATAGATTTCAATGAATAAATTTTTGTTAAAATTCATCGGACGTTTTTAGTGATTTATCAGTCATGATATGATTGTGAAAGAAAAATTCGTGTTCACATAAATTTAATCAGTTATGAAATATTACTTTTTCGAACAATTGGAACGTTACTTATAAAACTATAGTTTGCGTTATAATAAAAATTCTTCAAAATAGGATCAGGTTAGATTTTGGAAGTTAGATTTTAGAGTTAATAGATTTTAGAGTTAAGAGATTTTAGAGTTAATAGATTTTAGTTTGGTCTTCGAATTGGAACAAGGGATATTTGGAAGGGCTATAGTGTACCGGGTACACTTGTTGGGATACATTAATAAGATACTTGTATCGCTTGGATTATTAGTACTTTTTGGTGACTTGTGTGTGTTAATAAATAATTGGTTTCTCATATTAATGCTTACGACCCTAAGCTAAATTGGCTCAGGTCTCTCCCCTGGTCGTAACAAAGCCACCTAATACATAACGCAATATATCTTTAGCAAGACACAATATCTTTAACAAATAATTTATTTAATGTTGTAATAAAGTTGTTAACTTTAATTACTGAATTACAACTTCTAAAAAGCTTTAAGAACTAATGTTTTTAGTAAATTTTATAGATTTTAAGTTATTTTTTATTAGGTACTGTATGTAGGTTTTACTATGTAAATTTTTTTCTTTTAGCTTATAGAAATATTTGACTAATGTTTTTTATTCTTTTTAGGTACTGATTAATGATAGTGTTTTGCAAAAGATCCAGATCCAGTCCGGGTTCAGTCTAGTTCATTAACAGACTGAGTTTTTTTTTTTTTTAATCTTCAAAGGTGAGGCCATGCCTCTATCTTTATTAAAATTCAATTAAACTTCATTACAAATAATTAAATAAAGAAATTACATTATTTGAACTTTATATTTATAAGATACTAAGACTAGAGACTCAGACAGAGCTCTTGCTAACTCAAGAGTTATAGGAGTTATCTGCGACCTAAACCTATTAACAGACTGTGTTTGGACCTGTGATTTATAAAAATTGATACAGTTTTGGACCCACATGAAGATCTGCCTGAATAATACCCAATTCACTCGGTCTATTAAATATTATATGCTGATTGGCTGGCTTTTTTTAAACCAAGTTTTATTGAGCTAGAATGACCAAAACAAACAAAGAATGCCATTTGTATTTGGGTCTAAAATAACAATATAAGACCTATAATGCGATTTAACAATAATGATAATATATAAAATAAGGCAGAGACCTATATTTAGCAAAAGCCTGCACATAAACTTGCATTTTAAAATTTTTAAAACTTGCATTTTTTCTTTTCAGCAAGGTGTAAGAAAAGCATAAGAAAAAGCTGGAAAAAACCTGTGAAGGTTCGCATAAAAAAACTTTTTACTTCTATTATAGTTTTTTTTTTAAAAAAAAAAGCCTGTATTTAAAAAAATTAAAATAAATACTTGGCATTCTGAAGTTTTTTTTTTATTATTCTTTTATTGGCTCTATTTTGATTTTTTCTTTAATTATGGCATATGTTAAATAATATACATTTAGAGGAAATTGTTATTTTTTACTTTATCTTGCACTTTAAACACTCTCAATATCAACTAAATTATATTCTCAAGATGAATCTAAAGAATATGAGTTATTATTCCAGTATTATAGTAAATTTTACTTGGATAATTTGCATCTGAACTAAGATGAATTGTATCTAAATGAATTATCTCAAGATAAATTAAACCCTGATGAATCTTATTAAGATCAAAATAGATTATGTCAAGATAAACTGCAACAAAACAAATTCTGTCCAATCAAATTATCACTCCAAGCAGAGCCAACTGGTGATGAAACCTTTTCAAATAATGGGTAATATATGCAAAGCTTTACTTTTAATATTCTTTATTTATTTATAGATTCATAGTATGAAAATATTTTAAAACAGCAAAAGGTAGTGCCATGTGTAATATTTGTAAAAGGTCTTTCTGGTCTATAGCAATAGTATAACATCAAATCTTCTAAGACACCTCAGAAGACATAAGGTATCTAAATTAGTGAAATCAAATGTAAGAAGTGGTATAAATATTTTAAAATGATAAGTAATTAAGCCCATCAATGTGAACTCTTCAGCTAATGAAAATTGACTAGTATGATAAAAAGGTGATCATAAAATATAATTGATTCTGTCAAATCATTAAAGATGACAACTCTATATTTACTTACTTAGAACCTATAATAGTTGGTAAAAATAGCATTAGATAGTATATTTAATATATTAATATTATAGTAAAAATAAATACTTAAGAGTTTTTTTATTTTAGTACCTTCTGCCAACCTAATTAAATAACACATTATGAATGATTTTGAGGAAGAGTGTGAATGACTTCAAACAAACTTGCAGGAAGTTTCTGGATATATCACAATAACAACTGATATTTGGATTACCTTTACTAATGAAAAGTTATTTATGGCTGTTATAATTCATTATCTAAATTAATCATGAAAAATAAAAAATATTCTGCTTGATTTTATTTTTATAAGGATCCACATATGGCTGTTAAAATTATAAAAGCTATGGAAGATTGTCTTCAAAAAAATGGAATACTATTGAAATTAATATCAATAACCTGTAATAATGCATCTGCCAATATAAAGTTTTTGTATTATTTTTCTCATTTTATACTAATGATTGGTTTTAGGTTTGAAGTATACAGCAATCAATACAGTGCTTTAATCATATTTTAAATCTTATAGTCTAGTATATTTTAAAGATTGTAGAAAATGAGGTAGAAAAGGTCATTATCATTATACTAAAATTTTAATAATTTGTAATTATCGTGCTATTCTGTAATCAATTAAAGCATCTTGTTATATTAATATATATTAGAATGTTATCGAGTAAGATTCCTGTGAAGCTTTATATTAATAGTTTGTATTTATTTACATTACTTTTTAGTTGCATAAATTAATAAAAATATTAGAGGATTATGAAAGTATTACAAATAGTTAAAGCTAGCTAATATATTAAAGCCAATTCTTAATATAGCAACATGGTCGAATTCTATCTTTTATAATTGTGAGCATGCATTAATACTTAATATAGTGTTGAATGCTATGTTTTATGCTAAAACAGAGTTATATAAATATATTTTAGTCGAGAATGATTGAAAAAAAATAGAACTTCTTATTGAAATTTTATTACTCTTTAAGGATAGTTAGTATATTTAAGTATAAAATATAATTTTTAAAAAAAGTGTAGTATAAATATATATTACAAGACAAAAATATTTACCTCACTCTTTAATCTAATTTAGCAACTATATTTATATCATTATCAGAATATCTAACACTATTATTAGTCATTCCTCTTTATTATTCATTGCTTAAATCATTTGAAGAAACTAGATGAAAAGATTATATACCAGAATGGCTTAAGAAGGAGTATAAGGCTGCATCTAATAAACTTTTAGAATATTGCCAAAAGACAAGTATTTATATTTTTATCAGTTATACTAGACACAGCTTAAATTTCAATACTTTAAAAAACTTGGATATCATCTCAATTTATTAAACAAATTAAAGATATGTAGATATTTTATAATATAAAGGTGTGATTAGAGGTCTATTGGTAAATCTAATATTAATACTATTAAAGCTATAATATTGGTTCTAGTTTCTTATTTTTTTTTAGTTTGTTTTATGTAATTTTGGTATATATAATATCTTGGTAACAGTTGAAATGTTTAGAAGTAAAGGTGGCTGATCACAAAAAGAAAAAACTTATTACATGTGGTATAGGTTCATTAAAAGTATACACTTATTTAAGTAGTTGTGAAGAACCTATAGTAAGATTAATAGATAAACAGATACAAAAAAGAAATACATTTGTTAAGCAAATCATAAGGAGAAAACTTAATATATAATAAGTAGATCTGAAGAATTATTGTCTAAATAAAGCATTTAAAATTGATCAAGATAATATAATTATATTAAGAAATAGTAGTATAATCTATTATAAATTGGATAGACAATAAAATGAATCACTAGAAGAATAAAATAAATCAACTAAGTACTGCAGAGACATTGAAAACTATGTGGCAACTTGTTACAAGATCAATAGTTAGATATTATAAATTCCTGCAGATTTAAATAAATCATAAAAAATTGATCATTTGCAGATTTAAATAAATAATTAAAATTGATTTTTATATTCATGCGTATTTGTGAGCCAATATTGGTGCAAAATGGCAATTTCTATTCTTTAGCAAGATATATTTTCAATCGAAGAAAAGGTTATATTAAGTATTAAAAAAATATTTTATGAAAGAGTACAAAGAATCTCTAAGCTTCAATAAATTATTAGAAATAAAACTATATAATGCATCTATGTTAAGAAGTTATGAAGTAATTTATTAGTAGATAAAAAGATATGATAAATCAATTGTGAATTTAAATATCATTGAAAATTAATCCAAGTATGCTTTTATATTATAATTATGGAGAAACTTATCATAATATATAAACTATATATTGAAGAAATATTTAACCAATAAGACTATTTAAAATAGACAAATTTAGAATTAATAATATTTATAATATTATTATAATTTGTTATTGAATATTCATTAAACTTGATTAATGACTTCAAAGGTAAGGCCATGCCTCTATCTTTACTAAAATTTAATTAAACTTTTTTACAAAAAAGAAATTACATTATTTGAACTCTATATCTAAAGGATACTAAGACTAGAGATTTGGACAGAGCTCATATTAGAGTTATCTGTGATCTAAATCTATTAATGAATATAGTTAAGTGTAATAATAAATAGAATAATTTATATAATATTTTAATTAAGTATTAAAGATAAATACAAAAATCTACGCGGAGGACCAGATTAATGACGGTCAGACCAAATGTACATGGCAGACTATGGAATCCTTTGCAGC